TCCCTGCCTCGAAGACGACTGTATTAGTCGTCTGCCGAGGCCCTCAGTCTCTGACAAATTGTCCCTGAAGCAATATGAACCTCAACAGAAAGTGAAAAGTTCTCCACCTTGTTAGAATGAAGTGACTTTCACATTTGTTGATTATTATTATTCTACATACCAAAGAGTGCAGATATTTATCTGTTTTTCCTTTTTTCCTTATGCACATAAATGTACATGCACATCCACCTGAAATATACACACACACACACACACACACACACACACACACACACACACACACTTCCTTTGTGTTTCCTTTTGATCTTAATTTGACAACTGAAATACTTCAAGGAATAATCATTTTTAAAATCTAATATAATTATTGTTTGGAATAGAGAGTTGGGGGAAAAAACTATTTCTGATAAACATGGCTCCAAAACACACTGCAGAAATAATCCAGTTTGAGACTGCTTTAACTGCCCTGGCTCAATGCTAAGGAATCTTGGGAACCGTCGTTTGGTGAGATATTTAGCCTTCTCTGTCAAAGAGCTCTGGTGCCACAATAAACTACAGTTCCCAGGAGTCCATAGCACTGAGCCAGGGCAGTTAAAGCAGTTTCATACTGGATTATTTCTGCAGTGTGTTTTGGACCATGGTTAGATAAGACCTTCATTGAAAATGGGATCCACTATTACATTTGTTCTTTCTTCTGTGAATTAAACTCCCACTGTTTGCTTTTGTTGGATTGGTAGTTTGAAGCAGTAACTTGAATTCAACACAGACTAACATTTATTTTTATCATTCTCTCCTTGAGGTGTGTGTGTGTGTGTGTGTGAATGAGAGCCAGTGTGGTGTAGCGGCTTATTGATGTTGGACTACAGCTCTGTAGACTAGGGTTTGAAACCCCCTCTCAGCCATGGAACCTCACTGGGTGACCTTGGGCAAGTCATACTCTCTCAGCCTCAGGGGAAGACAATAGCAAACCCCCTCTGAATAAATCTTACCAAGAAAATCCTGTGATGCCATAAGTTGGAAACAAATTGAAGGCACACAACAGCGCGTGCATGCACACAGACAGATTCTTTTAAAAACCTTTGGTGCTCAAACTTCTTTGAAATGTAAATACAATATTGCATTGATATGAATGTCAAAGTGCGTAATACTAAAGATGCTTAATTTGAAACATATTTAGTGTTTGAAATATTATTCCCTAGTGCCCCATGTCATATGTCTGTAGAATGCTAAACATTCATAAAAAGAAAACCTGGCTTAGCTTTGTAGTGATGTACATACCTTACAGAAGAGCAAAACATATATAGGGATTAATAAAAGGAATCCAAACATGTGCAGAGGAACAGAGCACCACCATTAGAACACTGAAACAGCGTTTAATTTTTGTTATATATAAAGCGGCTTGAGAGGATGTGTTTATGATTAGCGAGTCCACAAGTATTTTTAAACATTATAGACTCCGTCAGAGCACCATCAGATGTTCACAGTCTTGAAGATAGGAACTGCTGGCATCTTTATGTTGGACAGCCAGCCCAAGCTGTTGGCATAGGAAGAAGATGGACTCTGTCGGTAGGAGGAGTGGGGCAGCTGCCTCAGGTGGGAGATATTAGGGGGCCGCAACATCCCTCCACTGGTCCCCCTCTCACTGATTTTTCTACCCAGCTTAGAAAAGTTACTTTGGGATTGCAATGCCAAAAAAGTAAATTTTCTAGGCTTTCAAAGATACAGCCGTGTTAGTCTGTAGAATCAGTATGTAGAGAGATCTTGTAGCACCTTTGAGATTAAGAGTAAGAAAGAAGCTGGCAACATGAGCTTAGATTTTTCTAAGTTTTATTTGCCAGTGGCCATGGACACCATTTGTTTCCATTATTTCAAGTTGTAGCATATCTTGGGTTGGCCCTGAGTGTAGTCGTTGTTGTTGCGTGCCTTTAAGTCATTTCCGACTTAAGACAACTCTAAGGTGAACCGATCATGGGGTTTTCTTGGCAAGTTTCTTCAGAGAGAGTTTCCCATTGCTATCCTCTGAGGCTGAGAGAGAATGTGACTTGGCCAAGGTCACCCAGTGGGTTTCCATGGCTGAGGCAGGATTCGAACCCTGGCCTCCAGAGTCCCAGTCCACCGCTCAAACCACTATGCCACCCTGGCTCCTACCCTCTTACCCATAGTGGACTTTGACTCTAGAGGTAAGGATAAAATGTGTTGAACATCGATACTTGGAACTGAGTTGTATTGACTAGGATGGATCTGGTTCCTATCACTACTATAAGAATGGGCAATTATGGGAAGTGAGCAGGCTGCATTCAGGTGCATGGGGATGAAAGGGTACTTTAGTTTTAACTTATGCATGTTTTAAATTAATTTTATATATAATTCATGATGTTAATATGATGATCTTTTAATTGTATTTTAATTTTATTCTTACATTTTTAGCTTTAATTGTTTATGAGCTGCCTTGGGTCACACATGGTGAGAAAATCAGCATATAAATTCAATGAATGAATGAATAAGCAAGCAAGCAAGCACCTCAGGCAGGGTGACCAGACATCCTCCTTTTCCAGGACATGTCCTACATTTTAACTTCCTGTCCAGCAGAAATTTCAAAATGTCCTCCATTCTGGGTATGACTAAGACGCATGAATTTACATTTATATTAGTGTTTTTATGTTTTATTTGGTAATGTCCTACATTTTTCTTGAAGGCCCTACATTTTACGTTGCCTTGTCCTCCTTTGCAGCTAGGACAGCTGGTCAATCCCCTAGGAGACCTTGGAGAGCCATACCTATCACTGCAGCCTCTGCAAAATGTGTGTGTGTGTGTGTGTGTACATGAGAATCAGCATGGTGTAGTGATTTGAACAGTGGACTATGACTCTAGAAGCCAGGGTTCAAATACTTGCTCAGCTATGGAAATCCATTGGGTCATATAGGTTTTTGTGGGTTTTTCGGGCTGTGAGGCCGTGTTTTAGAAGAATGTATTCCTGACGTTTGGTCTGAATCTGTGGCTGGCATCTTCAGAGAATGATGGCACGGAGGTGTGTGAGGTATATATGCTGTGTGACCCTTGGTTGAAAGGGTTAGCATGTAATTCTCTATATTGTTCTGTTGAGGCAAAGGCTCTGGGTGGAAAGATATGTGAGGAGAATTAGTGTCTATTTAATTAATGGTCCATTGTCTGCTGGGAATTAGCATGCAAATTAGTATGTAAATCTGTGTATTGTTCTGTTGAAGCAAGGCCTCAGGGTGAGAGGATTTGCGAAGAGGATTAATGTCTATTTGCATGCTAATCCTGTCAACCAAGGGTCACACAGTATATATACCCCCCACACCTCCATGCCACCATTCTCTGAAGATGCCAGCCACAGATGCAGGCGAAATGTCAGGAATACATTCTTCTAGAACACAGCCCGAAAAACCTACAAAAACCTATGGATGCCAAGAAAAACGCACAATAGGTTTACCTTAGTTTCACCATAAATTGGAAACGATTTGAAGGCACACAAGAAGAAAAATGTGTGTTTATGTGTGTGTAGTTGTGTGTCTGCAAATGCCCACGATGAGGTATACATGGCATTTTTGTAGCAAACTCCAATTGTGTGAATGAATTTTGGATAGGTCACTGACTAAGGCTACATCTGCACTGCAGAAATAATCCAGTATGGCACCACTTTAACTGCCTTGGCTCAGTGCTATGGAAAACTGTAGTTTGTTTTGGCACCAGAGCTCTCTGAAGAGAAGGCTAAATGTTTCACAAAACTACAAATCCCATTGAGCCATGGCAGTTAAAGAGGTGTCAGCCTGAATTTTTTCTGCAATGCGCATTAGGCACTCATCTATTTTCACTTTATTTACATGATGAGAAGCTCTGTGTAGAAAAGTCTCCTGAATCCATGACTTGTTTGTTTAAAGTGGAATATAGTTACAAAGACCCATGCACCATTATACCTGATCTCAAATTTTTGTTATCTAGAGGGTAGTAATTTACAGAGATTTTAGGACTTAATTGGATATGACATTAAGTATGGCAGTGCCACTGGGTGCTCAACTTTTATTAGTCTAGAAATTTTAGTCAAAACTTGAGGGGTTTTTTTATCCACAGGTCAATGTAAAAACTGTACTTTAATTCTTATTAAAAAAAGGAACCATCTGCTGGTGAAAGGCAAGAATATAATCTGTCCTGGAAGCACTGAATGCCCCCCCCCCACTGTCTCATCCATCCAGGTCTTAATGTGATCACAAACAGTTATGCTTGCTAGAACTTTGTAAGTAATTTGGCATTGTTTTCCATTGCTTCATCTTTTAGATCCTTTGTTACATACCTCTAAGTTTTCCCCTCGACTTATGCATGGGTCATATCAAAATCCCTAATTTTGCCCCAAAACTTGTCCTCAGCTTATACATGAGGTCAATTTATAGTCAAGTGTATATGGCAAATAAGTGTAGGCAGCATCAGTTGGTGACTTCTGTTTCAGAGGAGTGGAGTCTATGCCCTATTCCCAAAACAGATTCACAAAACAGATTCAACATCATGGCTAGCTCCTTTAATATTTGATGAAAATCTAAAGCCGATTCATTGCCCCATGTAAGCCAGCAGCTGTCACTGGTTCCAGGAACATCCAGTCTGGATTTCCAGGATGGAAAGGGCATTTAACTTTTTGTACCTGATATGTTCCTAAACTGGATGGAGCATTCCCAACAGTGACCATTTTACCCCATGAATCCAATCCAGATTGGTTCATTATGTATGTATATGTCAATGCAGCTATTCCATATCCCCAAAAATTTGAAATCCAAAGCACCTCTGGTTCCATGCATTTGAGATAAGGGAGACTCAACCTGTATTATGCTGTGTTGCATTATGTTAAGTGAAAATTGATGGAGTACATTGACCCACCCCTTTATTGGGCATAGGATCTTTGGCCCAGATAAGCATCTGAATTGGGCCAGTGTGGATGAATAAGTGGGTTTGTGGAGCAGATATATAATATCCTCTTATGTTCAGGTACCTGGGACAGTAATGGCCTTAGCCCTCTTAAATAGTCCTCAAGAGTCATATACTGTCCAAGTTAAGATGTATAGTATCTGTCAACAAAAATAGATTAGGACAGAGGACATCTCTCATATAATTTTGCATTAATTTCCTATGAGAGCATGCAACATGGTTTCAATAAGCAGTGTTCTGTTTGAAGTTGCACTTTGTTCTAAATCCTGCAATTGTTCAAGAGTGATGGTATATCTCATCCTTTAACTCTTCTTGAAGCACTAGCGGGTTGTTTTATTGTTTGGTAAATAAGACCTGGCAGAGTGCCTTTGAAAGTACATTCCAGTAGCAGAAGAACTATGGTCACCTATTCAAATTAGGGGTGTCTGGAAAGGATTTTTTTTTAAAGAAAAGAAAACTTTGCCACTAGTTTCTGAGCTCCTGTTTTTTTCAATAATGGTTTTGAGAAGACATGCCTCTTAACTGAAGTTGCCAGAACTCCTGACCCCTGAAATTCACATACTGGACCTGGAGTAAAGTAACTTCACTAAGTACAGTACTTGCTTCCAAGTTCCCATTTAGGATGGTAATGCTAATGTTTTACAGAAGGAAAAATTCAGCAGAGGCAGCCTTCCTTACCATTATGGTACTGATGCAAGTGAAGTATCACCTACCAAGTGTCTCCCATTCACTTGTGGGCTCTTTTGGATGTTCAGACATACCTCTGTTAACAAAGCTTCTAATGAAGAAACTCCTTTTTACAAAGTCTTTTTACACCCAGCCCACCCTATTTTTTCCTCCTAGCCCTCTCTCGCAGTGATTCCCAAACTTTGGTCTTCCATGTCTTTTGGACTTCAACTTCCAGAAGCCCTACCTAGCTTGACCAACATTTAGGAATTCTGGGAGCTGAAGTCCAAAACATCTGAAGGACCAAAGTTTGGGAAACACTGTGAGGCTAGCAGGGATTATTTTTAGCAGCAAGGGAGGTTGGTGAAGGAGAGCTGAAAGAACATGGAGTTTTGGTGTTGTACTGCAGCAGTATTTTTGCAGTAAACACTGTGATAAAGCTTGAGCTGGGAAAGAATGGGATTCTACTCTAGACAATCCTACTGTGTGCCTGCCTACAACAGGCAAGGTGAACAACAGCTGCCTCCAGATTTTCTAACTGACCATGCACAAACAACAAAACAGAGATAGAAAGGGAAGGCAGTTCAGCTTATCTCACCAGTTCCCCCAGCAGATTAAAGTAGCATAGATCAATAATACTGGCTAGCAAAGTTGAAATTATAGAAAAAGTGGAGGCTGCTGAAAGAAAAGTCATCTCTGAATATATTTTGGAGACCAGGTTTTAATTCTCGCCTCGGCCATAAAACCCACTGGGTGACCTTGGGCAAGTCACACTCTCAGCCTCAAAGGATGGCAATGGCAAACCTCTTCTGAACAAATCTTGCCAAGAAAACCCGATGATAAATTTGCCTTAGGGACACCATAAGTTGGAAATGAATTGAAGGCACACAACAGCAAACATCAGCTAGTTTTATTATTGTGAGTTGTTTAAATTGCTTTTGCTTTTGTTTTAAAATTAATATTTCTCCATATATCATGTTAACAACCTTATGTTCCAAAAGTAGTCTATAACTGATTTAGTAAATAAATAAATGAAGTTATACCAGCTGGCTATTATTTTACATCAAATTTCAAGTAAATATGGTTAGAAGGCAGATTTTACTAACTACCCACCCTGATGTTTTTGCTTTTCATTCTTTTCTTTTCTTTTTTCCCTTTGCTTTTTTTAATGACTAGCACAATAGAAGATACTGTACTGAAGTTATATTGTTCTGGAAACTGCTGAGATCTAATAACTTGTTTTTAATAGGCTCCAAATGGCTGTCATGACAACTTTTAATGTTTTCAGTTGAGGCCAACAGTAGAAATAATTGGACACCGGAAACAAAAAGCTAATTCTTTTGCCTGCCATAGAATATTATGAGACATAACAATGCACAGCAGTCATTTTAATTACAGTGCTCTTTTTTTTTAAGCTTTGGGCTTTGAAGTTCTACTGCAAACAGAAACAATCCTGAGCAATGGTTTTCTTTTAAATTGCTGTAATAATGACAACATTTGAAAAGAAGAAATGTGAAGCTGTGTTGTTCTTTTTTTTTTTT